CTTAGCACAGTGCACCCTCTAAGGATTTTATCGAAGAAGGGTACTATAAGCTCCTTGTCATGAGTTATAAAAGCGACATTCACATTTGGACCTTCTGCTATGTATCCTTCTTCATCAACCCATATAGCAGCATTTGCTCCCTTCTCTTCGGCTTCTAGTTTTGCAAGGACATTCGGACGGTAGTTCACATTCTTCATCATTGAAAATTCAGGTGTCTTCATGGGAATGGTGGATGTGATCACTTTAACCCCTTCTTTGCACTGAGAAAAGTCCTCGTCAATTACTACAGCATAGAACGCGGATGTTGGCAACTCTGTAGGTGAGAGCAAGAAGTTTCCAGGACCTGCACTCAGCCAATATCTTAAGAATTCCTTTCTTGATCTGCGATGCTGCAGCCAGTTGCACAAGAATGGTTTGAAGAGTTGACCGAGGGAAAGGAGAGGAGATCTTCGCTTTTGAAGATGATCTTAGGAAGCGGTTTAGGTAGACGTCAAGTTCATAGATGAAGCTGCAGGAATCACAATTCAAATCAATAACTCAAACTCTACACCATATTGGATGTGACAAATCAACAAAACTCCGAAGCCTATACTACACTAGAATGAAACCTTACAACAAAAGTATTGCAAAACATAACCTATAAAGCTTGAGAACCCAAGAGGAAAATCTAAAAATGCCTACCCGTTTAAGATAACCATCGTGTCAAACACACCATGCCCTTGATGAACCATGCGATCGTCAATTGGAATCACCATCAAAGCTGGATCAAGAATAATTCCACCATAAGTGCTCGAGTACATGGCTGGGTATGGTTTCTTTTCAACTTGGCTCCACTTCTCATGCAGCTTTTCAAGCATCTGGTCGAGAAAACGGCATCAAATTAAAATTTTCAGAATTAGTCCGAAATATATATGGAATAGAATGACAGGTTTAGATTAGGCCACAAGAAGAATACTTAAGCAACGAGCCATCGGTCACACGAGAGAAAACAACATGATTGCAGCAACTGATTCTTAAGTAACAAGCCATTGACTTTACACTGCAACCACCTAAAAAAATTCTCCAGTTCTCAACTCAATACTTTCGAACTCAACGCTTGCACCCACAGATATACTAAAGATAATTTGAAACCAAGTTCCAAAACAACTGCCCTGTAAAATTGTATGCACAAAAACTACAGACTAATCTTTGCGTTTCTAACAGAAAACACGGAAGACTTGATCCCCTGCTATCAAGCAATCTAAATATTGCAATCTCCACTCATAAGTATCTTCAGACTTGATCCCCGGCCACAGGAAATTAACAAGGTTCACAATTTTAATAGCCGAAACTAACCATGGTGATATTAAAACAAAAAAAAAAAATTGCGTTTTCGAGTTCTCACCTTGGATGATGATTTGAACACATGAACTTTGAAATCATTGACATCTCCAGCCTCCAATGTATCTTCAGAACAACAGCAACAACAAGTTCATCAACAATCAAAGCACCAATTATGTTTACAGATCATCATGATCACATTAATTACAAATGGCAAAACCCCAAAACAAAAAATTAATACACAAAAGAGAAGAAGTTCGCACGTGATTTATTGTCAGAAGAAGAGCTGTGGCTTGCCATGGATTAGCAGAAGCAGAAATAATTAACAGAGTTAATTACAATTAAGCAATAGAGTGAAGAAGAAGGGTGATGGTGGATTAGGGGATATGGACATGTTCTTATATTGCCATTAATCAACAATTAAAGTTAAATTAGAATGGAGGGAAGGGAATTCATTTTTGTTTCAACCCTTTGCAAGTTTGGAGTTTGTCTTGCAGTGTTGTGGATTGGATCATATAGTGTCAGGTTGCTACTGACTTATGTTCTTTGTGTTGTAGCTTCATTGGTGGACAGATTCTGTATCCAGGTACCCGTGTGATGGTTACAGCAAATTAAGTACTACTAATTAGAAAATAATATTCTAGTTAAATGAGATTAAGACTCAAGAATTTTTCATTGATGTTAAAATTTAATAACCGGAGTTTCAAATGATAATTAGTTTTAATTAATAAGAGACCGCTCTTAGCAGGGTCTCATTCTACTATAGCAAAAGCAAGACGATAGGACCGAGAAATATACACAAAAGGAAACGAAGGAGGAAATAATGAAACCCGACTTTATATGTAGTAAAATGGAAACCTACCAAGAAGTTGCTTCTTAATTACTTGACATATATTTTTCACTCAATTAAGTGTGGAAGAATGTAAGATCTCATATCGAAAACATGATAACATAAAATAGATATGTAATGAGTAATTACACTAATAACAAGAGCAATATGTTTTATTAAAAAAACCTCACACCTTACTATTCTATATGATATCCGACAATGCAATCTTCATCTATACTAGACACACTTTCAGTGACTTGTTTATCACACTAAACTACAATCTATATTTACAGAGAGCAAAACATAAGAAACTCTAACTCAGACAGACTGGGTTCAAATTCCAAACTAATAAGTAAACCTAAATAATTAAATAAACATAGAATATTAATATTTTCCAACAAAAAACAATAATGATAAGCCACGTAACTTTTTTTTTTCTTTTTACCACCAAGCCACATAAGTTAAACGATATTTTTTTTTTCTATGCTTGTTTGAAAAGGGTGTTGAGAAGCAAACAAGTTTCTTGGCAATAAGTGGCTTATTAAGGTGCATTGTCTATTAAAATGTACTCTCCTGCGCTTGCTTTAATTGCATAGCAAAATGTGAGAAACATGACAAGTTTGACGGAAATCTCAAAGCATTCACCACTCAAATCCTAATTAGCCAAAATATGAGAAATAAGACGAGTCTAAACGCCATTTGCAGTTCATAAGATGAATTTAATTATACCGTTAATCAAATAGCTACATGATTGTCACTAAAATGGGTAAACGACTTCTAATTCGATTGATTTTTCTTAGGAATGATCCTTGTAAGATGACCTCAAAATTAATCGACAATATTGCAGAATGTGAAGAAAGGAAAATGCAGAAAGGGAAGTGTTTGTGTGGATATTTAATGTTGGGCTTAGTGCGGTTGAAAGCCTAAGAACGTGAAATGTAGAAGAAGAATTGGGCTTTGGACAGTTAGCAGCCCAAAAAGAATTGAAAACCATTTTTTTTCCCAAGAAATAGGCAACAAGCCTATTTGAAGTGACAAGTGACAGAAGGCAGCTCATCCCCAGCAAAAAATACTTTTCCATGGCATGTATAGGTAAATAACAAAAGTAGATGGTGACTCACCATACTCTGGAACCCATCATCGAAAGGGAAGGCTTGGACAATCGGGCTAGAAAGTTTATAAAAGTAGTAAGGGATGTAAACAAAAGGCTTTCTCAACTAATCAATCAAAAGACATTCAACTCTGCACTCCAATAGCAAGAAATCAGAAAGTTTTAGTTTGTTCAAGCTTTACCCTTTCTAGTCCCAAGTCCACCATAGAAAGCTATCTTTTATCAAGTTTTAGAGCTTTGCTACCTTTCTTTGTGTTGTAGTATTGAATCTCTTTAGGTAAACTCGGTTTATGTTTCATTTTCAAAGGCTTCAACCCGGTAAAACAAAAAGAGAAGTGGCTGCAAGAAGACGAACCTTGCCTGACGAGGTTGTAATCTTGCCCAAGTCTCTTTTGTTTGTACTTACATAAAAAAGATCTGTTATTTATGCATCTTTCATTGGATCCTATATCATTTTCAACTACCTTCATTCAAAGTATCATCTATGATTAATCCAAGAACAATATGTTTTTGGGTGGGTATTTAATGTTGGGCTTAATGTGATTGAAGGCCCAAGAATGCGAAAAAAATTGAAGGAGAATTGGGCTTGGACAGTTGGCAGCCCAGGAAGAATTGAAAATCATTTTTTCTCTTCCAAGAAATAGGCAACAAGCCTATGTGAAGTGACAAGTGACAGATGACAGCTCACCCCCAGCAAAAAGTACTTTTACATGACATGTATAAGTAAATAACAAAAGTAGATGGTGACTCACCATACTTTAGAAGCCATCACCAAAAGGGAAGGCTTGAATAATCGGGCTAGAAAGTCTATAAAAGTAGTAATGGATGCAAACATAAGGCTCTCTCAACCAATCAATCAAAAGATATTCAACTCTGTACTCCAACAGCAAGAAACCAGAAAGTTTTAGTTTGGTCAAGCTTTACCTTTTCTAGTCGCAGGTCCACCATAGAAAGCTATCTTTTGTCAAGTTTTAGAAGCTCTGCTACCTTTTTCTGTGTTGTAGTATCAAATCTCTTTAGGTAAACCCGGTTTATGTTCCATTTTCAAAGACCTCAACCCCTGTAAAACACAAAGAGAAGTGGCTGCAAGAAGACGAACCTTGCCTGACAAGGTTGTAATCTTGTCCGAGTCTCTTTTGTTTATACTTACATAAAATAGATCTGTTGTTTATGCATCTTTCATTGGATCCTATATCATTTTCAACTACCTTCATTCAAAGTATCATCTATGATTAATCTTACTAAACTGATTAATCTTACTTCTTTATTGTTAGTCTAAAACTGTAACTAATGAAATAAATTGAAAGGTCTTGGACTCCCCTTAATTGCACATATGATATTATGAGTAAAGTCCTTGTTTACAAGGCAAGAAAAAGAACTTTATACAAACTTAACCCATTTGTGAACAATCCAATCGAACTAAGAAGTTGAAGTAACTTGTGGTGCAAATAATCAATCCATTTAATAACTAAAAAGAACAATCTGTTATACAAAGATAACAGTGGCACGCTCAGGTCCATATTAGTTTTGATTGTGAGCCTCAAGGTCTAACAAAGGCCCCACAAATGCACCATTCAAACTAATAACAAACTCATATTGTAGTATACAAAGCAACAAACCTTGCCCTATATGCAAGACCCAGAAGAGTTGTGCGAGGGATAGATCTAACCCGAACAGGAAGGTACCTTTGCTTCTTTATTTGTTTCAATCTCTTGAGAACTTATTGGCATGGTGTTTAAGGGTGTAGCATCCAAGACACGTACGATGCATTATTAGTAATTCATTACAAATTGACAGTGGCATACAAGAAGTAAAAACATCACAAATGGCATCAGCATTTCTTGTTGATGGCATTTGTGTCATATAGCGATAATTTTCTGGCATGCCTTTGACAGAAAGACTTTGTCCTCCTCAAAGCTTCTTCAACGGAAGATGGATCAGCAGCAAATGTAATGCGTATCCAGTTGTCCAGACCTACTGCTATTCCTACAATACACACATATAATCTCCGTTTGTTAGTCAGCGAGATGCTTGTAAACAAGAAAAATGTCATGGAAACTATGTTTCTGAATGTTCATTAATTTATTACCTGGAAGAAAGATCATGCTTTCCTCTTTCGCAAGCTTGAAACAAAACTCGATATTATCAGTAATATCTTCCAGTAGTGAAAGGTCTAGTTTCACCTGCATTACACGGAAAATTAATAAGCAAAGATGTAATAGAATGTTGAATTTATAGTATATGAACAATTGTGTTTCCGTTAATTTCTCACCATTACGGCCATGGATCCTTCTGGTTTGCTTGGACAGCTAAGACAAGGGATCTCATTTATCCTATCCCAGCAAATGTCTGAGGACTGCTTCAGGAAATAGAGAGTTTTCTTGAAGAAGGTCTCTTCGGTTTCTTCAAGGATGCGAGGAACTGCTGCCTAATGCCTATAACGTATCAGATATGTCATTTTGAAACAGAGGCGAAAATTAAGTTAATACTCAGATAAGAGTTTAAGCATGCAAATAATATATTGTGTTTTTCTCGTTTTGACTAGAATTCCTGAGGAATTGTGAGTAATGTTGAACTAAAACAACTTTTAGAAGTTGTCTTTTGTTATAGCAATCTGGAAAGAGCTTTTAGAAATAGTAGTTCCAGAGGACAGAAACCGCACAGTGGCATGACCTTAAAATCAAATTAGTCTACTAAGCAAGAAAACTAATTGCTGTGTTTGAGCAATTCGAAACAAGCATATGAGGCACAAACCTGAATGAAAGTTGCAGGCCCTCCCAAAATGTCTAAATATTTCTTAAAGCGCTCAATAACCTGAACAGAACAGTATATGTCAAAACTAGAAGTGGATGATGTAATTATAAAAATCATGACGATTTTCGGTCAGTAGAACAAAGTTATATCCATGAGATGTGAATATCTGTAACAGGTATAAGTGGAACTTGACAACATCAAAACCGCTAAACCGATGGATCTGCAAAGCAATTGAATCCACAAGAGACTAGGGGCCACATGGAAAATCAATTAGACTTTTACGATAACATTTAGTGCTATAAACTGGTTTAGGAAATCCTGAGATACTACTCTTGAAGTGCACTAAAATGGCAGAGAGAGGGGGCTATGTATATTCAATAGATATGCACGGTGATTGTTTGGAATTAATGGTACGTAAATCAATTTATATAGAGTTCATAATTCTGAGAGAGAGAAAGAGAGATAGAGAGAGAGAGAACCTTGGTGTTCCAAACATGCCACATGGATCAGTCGTCACAAACCAACCAAGTCGCCATCCAGGAACTATCCATCTCTTTGACAGGGACCCAAGAGTAAGAACCGGAACAGTTGATCCAAAAACACCCATTGGCACAAATGGTTTATCCCCAAAGGCGAGATGCCCATAAACTTCATCAGCAATTACAGGAATTCGAAGCTTTTTTGCAGTTTCTGCGATCTAAGTTTGATACAAAAACAATAGATTACAACGATAACCAGTGTCAATAACCTAAACTGGTCTCTCAGGTACAATCTTTTGTTCATATGCGATACCATTGATGACTAACCTTCTCCAGATGTTGGTAACTGTACACATTCCCACAAGGATTCCCAGGGTTTATAATTACCATTGCAACCGTGTTGTGATCTGCAAGAGCTTCAACAGCATCATGGTCAACCTCCCAGGCATTCTCTTGCAGGAGATTAAAATGTCTAACTTCAAGAAGTCTAAAAGCAGAACAAAGTTCATAGATAGGGAAGCAAGGCCTTGGAAGCAAGATATTGGCACCAGGGCGAGAAAGCATAGCCAACGCAACATCAATAGCTTGCGTGCAACCAGCTGTGACGAAAACATCATCAGATGTTAACTTGTATGGAAGGTCACGGGACAGATATTCAGAAATTGCTCTGCCACGAAGGGAAATTATAGCAGATTTAGTAATATACACTACGGATTGATGCGAGATTTATACGCACACAAATTAAACCCTCTTTTTGTCAATTGTAGTATAAGTATAAGTAGGGATCGTTCTGGACCGGGGATTAGGAGGGATTGTTAATCTCTTGGAAACTGACTTAAAAACGTAAAAACAAGATAAAACACTAAACTAGACTCAAAGAATGTGAAACTAAACGTTAAAACACTAAGACAAACCAAAAGACTCAAAATGCTTTAAAAAAACACAAACTAAATTGATTTCTAACTAAATTGAACAATAAAGTAAAGGGGGATTGGATTTGGACGACTTTAAACTAAAAATGGAAACTTGGAAATAAAACAAATTGTAAATATGGATTTGACGGAAATGAATGGATGAGAAGCTAGCTAAGGGGTTCATCTCCACATATGTTATACTTGCATACAAAACGATGTCTAATTGCTTTTCAATAAACCATGAATTCTCAACGCCCCGGGTTAATTAGGTCCGCTTAAATTAACCGTCAAGTTTTCCTTAAGTTAATGAATTGGATGATTGCATACGACAATCCAAAGCATTCCTCACAAGTTCCCTACATGAATTGCATAATAGAGATACAAGCAAGAATCATTAAGCATCATGAAAACTATAAGTGTTGACGAGGCATTCGTTACTATGATTGCATGAAACTTATGCCAAGAATATGTTTAACACGATTGTTTATAAGCAACCTCCACTACTTGTGAATATAAGTTCATAACTATTACGTGAAACTCACTTATATTCTAGCGTCAAATTCATGCATGAAAATTAAGCGTTCATTCTTAATAAACATACATAAATAGGTTATCAATTAAACAGTTAAACAAATTGAATTCACAACTTATGAAACGTAATTAAAAGTAATCAAATCATATTACAAACATAAACATAGTTTCGAATCACCCCCTAGCTAAAGGGGGTTTAGTTCCTCATAACTTTGAAATCAAAGAAACACCTAAACATTCCAACAACTCAAAACTTGAATTGTATGAACGTTTAAGCACTCTTCTCTTCCATTCCTTATACGTACAAAACAAAGAGAATTAAAATGAAACTTTGAAATCAAAGAAACACCTAAACATTCCAACAACTCAAACTTGAATTGTATGAACGTTTAGGCACTCTTCTCTTCCTCGTTATTGTAGCACAAGGTTTAAGGATAGGTTGGTTGGGGGGATGGAAGTGTGGAATGGAGTGGAAATGGAGGAAATGGAGAAGTGTTTGTGTATTGCAATGGAAAATGAGATGATTTGGTGAATGGAATGAATGGGTATTTATAGGAAGAGAATGGGTGTTAATGGATGTTTGTTTAAGGTATTTGGTGGATGGGAAAAGGTGTGGATGGTGGGAATTATGGTGGATGGATGGTTTAGTGGATGTAATTTAGGGTTTATTTAGGTGAATGTGGATGCATGGTTTAGTGGATGTAAAGGATAATGGGATGGTGTGGAATTAAAAGCTAAAAAAATTGGGATAATGGGCATTTAAGTGTGAATGGAATGGTGGGATGCACTAATGGAAATTATGGAATGGAATGGTGGGATGCACTAATTAGGAGGAAGAATTAGGGTGAAGGGCTTAATGCATGGATTTGGGCCAATTAGGGTGAAGGGCTTAATGCATGGATTTGGGCCTAAAATGCCTCCCCTTGCATGGCAAGGGAAAGGACTTGGGCTAAAGCCCACGGCAATGGCTCTAAAATGGGCTAAGGTTAGGGTTTAGGTGCGGCATAGGCTTAGGGTCCACAAAGAGTTAGGGTTTAGGTCATCTAAAAGCCCAAAGCCAAGAATAGAAACTCACGTCAATGGAAACCTCCAAGAATAGAAACTTCCAACTTTAGAAACTTTGGTTACCAATTCCGACTTCCTTGCTCTTCACTTTCATTTCTTCATTTCTTAAGCTCCTTTGACCTTCAACCTCGTTCATTCCTCGTGCTCCATTTGCATACACCACATTCCAGCTCAGTTTTGCTCCAAAAGCTCCCAATTGCATCATTTCATGTAATATGTCCTTTAAACCTGAAAACACATGAAAGTAGCTTAAAAGACTACTTTAACGAATAAAACATAACAAAAATGCATAAGAACTAGCTAACTAAGGCGCATAAATATGCTCCTATCACGGATAAGCATCACCAACATGATTATATTTAAGTACCCCTCAGGACATATACTCTGACGTTTCCTTGCTGTACAAGCCAGCAGTCTATTATCCAAGACATGCATCAAATGTGCTGTCACCATTTAAAATGCCGCTTTATCACAACAGGAAGATAGGAGCTTGGATTCGTTTTAACCAAATAAGAGGATATCTAGATAAAGGCTTTCATCAAAGATACTAAATTCATGCCTGGAAGAAAATGTTTATGAAATTTTATCACAACAGGAAGATAGGAGCTTGGATTTTTGACGGTAAAGTAAACAAAATTTTGAATTGTTTTCAGCAGTAACTATGAAATAAGAAGATTTTGCCATTTACTTTTATAGCTCCATAAAGCAGTTCCTTACCTCATAAGGTACGTGTATTGCTCCTACTTGATTTGTACCACACCGTCGGTAATGAAAACCCTCCGGAACCCTCCACAATCGAATCAAGTAATTCGGATTTGTTTGGTGTTCAATTTCAAAATAATTTTTAGTTTACGCAAGTGATGAATGTAATTTAAATTACTTAGTACTCATTAGTTGCAAAACAAAAGATTCTATCCAAGAAAGATGCCAAACAGGCTCGAAATTTCTTCAAAATATTAACTAACATAGTCTTTTCCGTTAGTTTGTTTTTGTTTTTGAACTTTTCTACTTTCTTGGCTTTTCATCCTTTTTACTTTGGACTAATTTCTAATTTTATGTCAACTTCACAAATTTTAAATTGCTAAAAGCCCGATTACTCGGTGACGCTAAAAAGGGTGAAACATAATCATTCATGAATATTCAAATTGATGAAGTATATTGAAGTTAAAAATAAAAAATAAAAAGAAAATAAAAAAAACTGTTCTAAAAATCCCCGCCTAGGTGACTATCCACTACCCCAATTAGTTTCCAGGTGTTTGAAAATTAAGAAAGTGCGTCCAGACCCGCTTAGGCATCTGACTAAACCTGTCTAAGTCGCAATTCTCACTTAGATTAAAAATCGGTAACTTTCATTTTACATATTTTCTCAATAAAATGTAAGAGACTTGTTGAATACTTGATGAACACTCTTTATACATTTGTTTCCCATGTTTTCAATATGTTCTAATACTTTATAATCTAGATGCTATTTTATTTTGCAATTTATACATACAATTATGTGTTTTTAAGTATAAATTGACACTTATTTATACAATATATAATAAATTTACTTAAATTCGCCTAATCCACCTAGACCCCTGCTTAGCCGCCTAGGCGTTAGGTCCCAGCCTACCGCTGGATTAGCGCTTCGCGTCTTTTAGAAACTTGAAAAAAAAGTGAAAAGAACTACAAAAGTACTTCAACTAAAACATTAAAAATGAAAATTGAAACCAAACTCCATATAGTCCAAGCACCCACTTAAACAAGATAAGAACCCAAAAACCAAATTTGGCAGCACTTAGAATCCAGGACAACAATTCGATAATAACAAGAAAGAACAAGACAAGTATTGAAGACCAATGTTCTAAAAAACGGCCTAGGCGTTGATGACCTGAGATGTTTTCTTGCAAATAGATTGGAAAAATCGACTGGGCTCTAGGCAGCACCTAGGTGGGGAGTTTTTTTTTTTTTTTTTTTTTTTTTTTGAAATTTAAAAAAATAAAATAAAAATCCTATCTACATTACTATATTTCCTTATTTTCCTCATATTTTGCATTTTATGTGGTTTTAAATTATGAATTTATTGTACTTGTGTCATCCTACAATACTTTTCACTATGGTTATATGGCATATATGCTTAATGTATTTTTAAATTTTGGACTTGTTGGATACTCTTTTGCATTTTATCTTTCTTTTATTATATTATTCATGGATTTCATAAAATTATAATTTTTTATAAGTGTCAATATGTACTTATTTACAAGATATACAGCAAATTTACCTAAACCGCCTAGACGCTAGGAGCTAACCCACCGCCCGACTAATGCCTAACATTTTTTAAAACCTTGCTGATGACAATTAAAACCAAAAAAAAAAAAATCCTAGAAATTGAAAAACCAAAATTAATAATTTACCTTCTGGTTTGAGGAAGACCAACAGTGGGAGCATAGCCATTGAACTTGTCGGATTGGAGGGCATCGACGGCTTCCTGCGATACATGTGTCGTGTGGAAGCAAGAGAAGGCAGTCGGGTCGCCCATGCCCAAAGAAATCAGCCGTCTGCCGTCGTTTTCATCGACATTCTGCAGTAGCAAGCTGAGGATGCCTTTAATTGTGATTGTTGTAGAATTAGTGTCCAATACTAGTACAGCTTGGTGGTTCGAGGTGCCGTTTTCCATGGCGGATTTGATGGTTTTTTTTTTTTTTGGGGGGGGGGTGTTTTGTTTCAGTTTGGCACTACTACAGAAGAGGTTATCACTGGCGATGTAAAAACCGATAAGAAACCCTAATTATTGTTGGATTTTTACCAAAAATCAGACATAAAATCATGCAATGTCGGATAGGGAAACCGACACCATCACTAGCGTCACGAAAAGGGTATTAACGTCGGTTAGTCCCCTTAATCCGCCACCAAGAAGCAAAGTAATATAAAATAAAATAAAAATAACAGTGTCGCTTAAAAGCGCCATTAAATTCTAACATGATGGCAGTTCTAACCGACATCAACTAACAACTAAACTATTAAAATAAAAACCTACTGTCGGCCTTAACCGACGCCATAAGCCAATAATAAAAAAATAAATAAAAGTTTGTCTCGGTTCCTCTGTCGACTCTCAGTTCCTCCGTTGACGACCTCCACTACTGTTCTTGGCCACTACTCAGTTCCTCCTCCTCCATTTCGTGCTACCTGCCGATCAAGAGGGATCATAGACAACATCAGTTCCTCCTCCTCTATAGCCACTTATGCAACCACGTCTCTAGAGATGCTGCCTTCTAAAAAAGTGTCCTATCAAGAGGGACCATAGACAACATTAAGTTAAAGCAACTCGGGCTTTCATACTTAACAAGATTAAATGGGGAGAGTTCTCAAAGTGTGACAAAAATCGTGCTACCTCTGGCTCCATTACAAAATTTATGGTTGGAGGTTCGTTTCTCAACTCACTGGGTCTTATAATCTTGTAGTTTATACCAGACTTCCTGATATAATTCTCTGCCTGAAGCTTTGCTATTAAGGTGAGCCTAAAAACATTGAGGAAAGCTAGGTTGAGAATACGCCCATTGCTGCTCCATTGACCAATTTGGGAGAGATAAAGGGATAAGGAAAAGGGGAGAAAAATCAGAGCGACATGGTGAAGGGATGGTCGTCGCCATTGCAGTGAGGCTGAGGAGGAGAGCGCATGGAGGTTGTGTTGTTGATGCTATTGTAGGAGGAGAGTAGGAGGTTTTTGAGTGGGCATCATGAGGGGAAGAAATTTGTGGTGGTGGTGAGGTGAGGAGTAATGGATGAAGAGAGGTGATGAGTGGAGAGAAGACAGAAAAATGAGAGAAAAGTTTGTGAGAGAGGTGTAAGGTAATAGGAAATGAAAGATTTCACTTAAATTTTGAGAATTGCAGAAGTACAGTGAAATTTCACAGAACCTATACTCACATCCCCACACGTGAGTGATTCACTATATATATATATATATATATATATATATATATATATATATCAATGTTTTAAAGAACTCGCCTCGGGGTGCGCCTAGGGCGCCCTTGAGGCTGGGCGGAGAGGCAAACGCCTCAGTTTTGCTGGAGTAGGCGAAATGCTTCGCCGGAGACACCGAGGCGGCGGAGGCGCACCTCAAGGAGTCTGGACATTTTTTTTTTTTTTTTTTTTTAAACCATCCAAACCCAAAACGACGTCGTTTGGGTAAGGATTTTCAGTCTTCACCCACCATACCTTCGAATTCGACCCATTTTTCTGCCTCTGCCTTTTGCCTTCTGCCTTGTTGCTTCTTTTTCTCCCGCGCGCCAGAAGCCCAGAGGCTCAAAACACCGATCCAGTCGCCATGCCGCCATGCCACCATCACCCCGCCGCCGTCACCTCAGCACCATCAGCCCAATCGCAGCGCCGTCAGCAAGATCCCAAAGGTTAGGGTTTTTGAAATTAGGGATTTATTTTCTGGGGAAGGTTTTGCAACTTTTGCTATAGAGGGGTTAATAGTTTTCTGGTTTTGCATTTTCTGGGGAAGGTGCTCTGCGACTACGAGAGAGAGAGAGAGAGAGAGGAAGAAGCAGAGTAGAAAACAGGGGACAGACAACCCATGGTTTTATTTGTCTGTGTGGCTCACTGGTTGCCAAACTGTTTTGCACTTATAGTCTTATACCATAAACTTAATGCTTCTGTCGGCTACCATAAATTGTTGCCATAAATTGTGTCCGTGTGCCATAAATTGGCACTTAGATAAATTGTTAGAAATTGTTAGAAATTGGCACTAAAGGGTTAGTTGTTAATAAATTAATTAAAGGATTAATTTATAAATTAATTAATAAATTGTTAGAAATTTATTAATTGTTAGAAATTGTTAGAAATTAATTAAGGGTTAATTGTTAGAAATTGTTAGAAATTGGCACTAAAGGATTAATTTATAAATTAATTAATAAATTGTTAGAAATTGTTGGAAATTGTTGGTATATAAATTAATTAATAAATTGTTGGTTCATTAATTGTATGCATGCATCTATTGTTTATTGTTTAGGGTATTGAAGAATATGGCTTCTTCTTCTAAGAAAGATTTTGCTTGGCAATGGACAAAAGATTTGGATCCTATCACTAAGCACTTCTATTGTGTTTTTGTAACCACAAATGCACGGGTTCAATTTCTAGATTCAAACATCACTTGAGTGGTGTAAGTTCGAGAGGAATGATAAGTTGTAAAAAAGTCCCACCCAATGTGAAGGAAGAATGTTTTGCTAATGTTATGGGAACTAAAGAAAAGAGGAAAGCTAGTCATGAGTTGTGTCATGGTGGTGGAGAAGAAAGTGAAAGTGTCGCTATGGGCACAACAAGGACAACATATGTAAGTAGTGGGAGTGGGAGTGCGAGTGCCACACATTCACAACAAACCGGTTCTTTTCTACCACCTAGGTCAAGGGGACCACTTGATAGGTATGTTACATCGGAAGCTCGTCAAACCACGTTGAATACACCTTTCAAAAAAAAGGAAAGAAGACAAGCATCCCGAGCACTTGCCCGATGGTTCTACACTAGTGTCATTCCATTCAATGCGGCAAACAATGAATATTATGTTAATGCAATGAAATTGGTGTCCAATTTTGGTCCTGGCTTTGATGCTCCTATGAATATAGAACTTGGATGCTTAAAGAAGAAGTTGATGATGTACAAAGTATGATGAAAGAACATCAAAAGGCTTGGAAGAGATATGGATGCACTATTATGTCGGATGGATGGTTGGATGGCAAAAGTAGATGTTTAATCAACTTTCTTGTCAATAGCCCTCAAGGTACTTGGTTCTTGAAATCGGTTGATGCATCGACCTCTATTAAGAATGGAGATTTGTTGTATGGCTATTTGGATGACGTTATTCAAGAAATTGGGGAGGAGAATGTGGTTCAAGTTATATCTGACAATGCTTCGAACTACAAGAATGCCGGGGCAAAACTTATGGAGAGGAAAGAGAAGGTGTGGTGGACTCCATGTGCGGCTCATTGCATTGATTTGATGCTAGAAGATATTTCTAAGATGGCATGGTTTGATGACACACTCAAACGTGCTAGATGTATTTCAAAGTATCTATATGGGCATCAATGGGTACTAGCTTTGATGAGAAAGTACACTAACAATTCGGAAATTCTTCGTCCGGCGGTCACTAGGTTTGCCACTTTTTTCCTTACACTACAAAGCTTACAAAAGCAAAAGGAAAATCTTGTTGCTTTGTTTACCTCTCAAGAATGGTCGGAAAGTACCTATGCAAAATCCCGTGAAGCAAAGTTGGCTAAGCATCATGTGTTATATGATCGTGAGTTTTGGGGTCGAGTTCCTTTTGCATTAAGGGCGTTCTTCCTCTTGTTTGTGTTTTGAGAGAGGTTGATTTGGAGGAGAGACCCCCCATGGGTTTTATATATGAGTTGATGGATGCCGCAAAAGAGAAAATTGCAAGCAATCTTAACAAAATGGAGAAAAAATATATGCCTATTTGGAGAAAGATAGAACGTAGATGGGACGATCAACTTCATCAACCACTACATGCGGCGGGCTATTACTTAAACCCACAATTTCGATATGAGGATAATTTCTCAGATACTGATGAAGTGCGAAATGGGTTATTTGCTTGCATGGATATGATGCTTGGGAAAGGGAAAGAACGTGAAGAGGCCGATGTTCAATTGGATTTATTTACTAATAAGCATGGTCCATTTGCGGATTCTATGGCTATGCAAACTAGGAAAAAGCGAACACCAAGTAAGATTTAATTAGTTAAATGTTAATATCTTTTTATCATTAACCTTTAAATTACTTACCTTATTAATATTGTTTTTTTAGCGGCTTGGTGGGAGCGCTTTGGGCATAAAACACCCGAGTTAACGAAATTTGCTATCCGAGTTCTAAGCCTTACTTGTAGTGCATCGGGATGTGAGAGGAATTGGAGCACATTTTCAATGGTAAGTAAATATATTATTAGTATCTTAAGTGTCATTTTTGCTTAAAATGTTTAGACTTGAATAATAGAATTGATTTATTTGTAGATTCATACGAAAAGAAGGAATAGGCTTGAACACAAAAGGCTTAATGCTTTAGCCTATGTCAAGTAAAATTTGGCTTTACAACAAAGAAGTAAGAAAAGGATGGAGAAGTATGATCCTATTGTTGTGGAAGAAATTGCCTCCGATGATGAATGGATAACAAAGATAGAAGATCCCGTTCTTCCGGAAGATCCTACATGGCTTGAGGATGAGTTATTGTATAATGTTGAGGCCGTAAGGAATGTGCCAACCCCGGTTTATGAAGGTGGCTCATACATTCGAGAGCCTAGAGAGTCTTCTCCTCCTCCTCCTCCTCGTGAGCCTACTCCTCCTCCTTCTCCTCGCGAGCCTACTCAACCTCAGGGTCCTATTAGAAGAAATGTGGAATATGATTCGGAAGATTCTTTTGATGAAATGATGAGATACCCGACAAGTTCATCTAGAGTTGGCAATGAAGAGGATGATGTTGCCTTTTATTTAGATGAACATGATTTAGATGAATGATTTATATCTTTATTTGTATTTTGATTTATATGAAGATGATTTGGATGAATGATTGTTTTCTTTGTTTGTATTACCTTTTGAATGATGAATTTGGGTGATATTACCTTTGAATGATGAATTTAAATGATATTATCTTTTGAATGACTATGGATTTGAATGAAAAATTGAGAATGGATGTTTATTTTACATAGTATTATTTTTTATACAATTATATGTATAATATATAAAACATATATATATATAAAAAAAAATTAAATCCTGTAATGCTTCGCCTCACGCCTAGGCTGGGCTTCGCCTCGGACGCCTCGCCCACGCCTCACGCTTTTAATACATTGATATATATATATATATATATATATACATATCACACATTCATAAAAATTATGAAATATTGCAACCACAATGCAAATCTTAATTTCCACTAACGGAATTCCATAATCACCATGGAAATTGCACCACAATCACAATACAAGTCATAGATGTATCTCATATATATATATATATATCACATGAATGTCACTTATTCACAGAAATTATGAAATTATGCAACCACAATGCATATCAAAATTCACGTAAATGCCTCATGATGCATCACACTAATGAAATGTTGCAATACCACTGCAATCATATTCCACATCATCAAAACACGAGAATATATACATTTACTCTCCTGCCAGTACGAGATTCATAATACATGCATATTTATCATTAATGCCATATTAATCATAGAAATAATGCAATATCATTGCAAATCATAAGTCATATCCATAAAACTTCATAACGTTCCATATTGTAAAGCAAGATCATTTGCTTTGATACCAAATTGTCACATCTTGGCCTGGGCCCCCACCACATCCCGGGCTCGACTCCACCATAACACGATATTGTCCCCTTTGAGCCCCGACCATGCCTTCACGGTTTTGTTTCTGGGAACTCACAAGAGAACTTCCCAGTGGGTCACCCATCCTAGGATTACTCTCGCGTGAACTCGCTTAACTTCGGAGTTCGCCGGTGAGCTCCCAAAAGGTTTCGTGCTAAAGGAGGTGAGCATGTACATGTAAGGCATAGATGATCCACTCCCCTGGGCGATATGGGATCTAACAATCCACCCCCCCCCGTAGGGGCCTGACGTCATTGTCGGCACACTTCCGGTTAGGGATTGGCTCTGATACCACTATGTAATGACCCGAAATTTCTAATTCGGAAGCAAACACGTAGGTAGGCCACAATAAAATAATGGTTAATCATAATTCTAACTAACCATACTAAAAATAATAATCATTTTGTTTAATTTATGGCTGTATCTAACATTCTCGTTAAACTGCCTACGTACCCTAAACGAAGGGATGAAGCCATTCGTAGTTCACCTTACGCTTCTAGAACAACATACTAAAATTTCATTTTGATCTAATGGTCGAATCTCCACCAATCACAACATTCAACTAGCGGTCGACGATTTAATTTGCTAACTTGCAAATCCAATTCGGGAAGATCCGTATGTCGGATTCCCGATCCGTAAGTTCCTAAGTTCCTCAAATATTATGTACTATAATGCTTAAAGTTTGGTGATGATCCAACGGTCGAATAATCGTCAATTACCAAAAATCGTATGGTGATACAATTATCTGAAAAAAATTTGAATATTCGAATCATCGTAACAAATTTCAACGAACGGACTTTGGATATGGGCTCAGGACATCAAGGATGTCCTGCTGTCCAAAATCCATGAAAACATATTCTCCCTCACACGCCGCCGTGAGCGGTGGTTTCCCGCGACCGGAAACCCACTTTTTCGTCTAACTCCAAATTCTACAAAAACTTACAATAAGATAGAGCTCAATAAGAGGAACAAGTTTTATACCTGCTACGAAGTCCAAAAGTAGACGGAAGAGGGTTAATTCTGCTAATAAAGTCGGTGGCTGCCTAAAGCTTCCCGGTGTTGATTTGTCGCCCACGGTGGTCCAACAGGATCAAATCTTCTTGGGATTTACTCCTGGGATGATGGGCTACAAAACCCAAGTGGTGGCATCAGCCATCACTTTGCCGATTCATCGGAAAAATGAAAAGGATGGCTGGAGCACCAATGGTTTTCATCGGTTAATCAAGGTGGTTCTTGGTTGGATTTTGTAGAGAGGAGCAACAGCTTCAAGATGGTGATGGTGGCGTCGAAAAACTCCATCGGAGTTGGTCAGAATCGGCGTTAGAAAATGGGATGTCGCAAGGGTCAACTGGGTCGTAAACTCGGTTGGAGTTTCTGGGCCTTTTTGAGTCAATTTCCTCCCCTGGAAACTTCCTAATTTTCTGACCAAATTTAGAGACTTACTACTAATAGTAAGTCCATGTGTCTAAAGTTCTCACCATTTTCGAGGCTCGTAACTTCTCCATTCTGACTCGGAATTAAGATCCATTTGAACCTACGCACTCGTAAGGTCGTCCTCTATTCAAATATTTTAAGAATTACAATAAAATATATGAGGATAAAATACATCCTCGTATAATTACGCTAACCAAATAAGGCATTTTCATCTTTCCCCACTTAACGAAACATTATACGACATAATTAATTTTTAATCTAGAAGCGGGATTTTACATTTTTTCCCATTCAAATTTTATAACCAAAAATCAATCTTATTTTTTTTCCTCCACAAACAATAAAATGAATATCCACATCATTTTTAAAATATTCAGGGTGTTACAGGTGCAATGTATGGCTACATTGATTTTCACAGAGCGCGAGAGAGTTTGAGATGGGGAAGAGTGAACGATGAAAGAAAGAGTGATGAGAGGGAGGGAGAGCTAAAAATGAAGAGATGAGAGCTGATGGAGGATAGTTCGGGAGAGGGTTCGAGAGTGTCGAGAGATTGGGGGAGGGGAGGACACAAGGAAGAAGGGGAGGTGGGGTGTGGGCCCCACTGGCCACAAAAATAATAAAATATCAGACCCTAATATCTAGAATAGTGAAGTTACTAAAATACCCTTCTGCTTTGTAGTTCCGTAAAACCCTCATCGTAGCTCCAAATTCGATTCCGCTTGCACCCCACGTGTTCGTAACGACGAGTACTATAAGGATACGCCAAGGAAACAGATCTTACGTGACACGACAAGGTGGTCAATAAAAGTCAATGTTTTTACCTCAAAGGGTATTTTTCGTAAATTCACGCTTTAGAATTATAAAAACTGTAATATTTGGGGACGGGTCGTTTCAGACAAAACTATCCCTTTAGATTTCGCCAAGTGTTGGCTACTAACTCGATTCCATGAAACAGCTCTTGTGCGTTTCGTTCATAATAGTCTGTTCAACTATGCTTTCTATTTACTTAGCTTTGGGCATCTCCCCGATTTCCATCGTTGCGTTCTTATTCATTCCTGTGATTTGGTGCCTACCACAATCTAGATGCGTTAAGGTGAATATATATGGTTCTTGTGCAAATGGTCGTGTTGGTTTTGCTAGGAATTTTCGTAATTGGATGGACATGTACTTGGTTCTTTCTCCTCAAATAGGAGTTTGTTAATTCAGTGGTTGCAAAAGTATCAGCTTTCATTGAGGCGGTTCATGTTGCTTGGATTCGAGATTAGAAGCATATTTGGATTGAAACTGATTCCACCTTGGTTGATTAGAACAATTGTTTATGGCTTCTTCGCCAAATGAGTATTTTTTGTACACACATTTATCAGGAGGGTGACAAGTTGTTGATGCCCAAGCTTCTTTTGGTGCGGTTAGTAGTGCTTATTATTGGTGGTCCATTGTTCCAGATTTTGCAGCTGCCACCCATGCTCATGACCTTGAGTTTTGTCATGTTTTTCATTTTCGTTGATGTTTCTTTGTTTTTCTTTTAGCGGGTTTTGGCTCCGTCCCCCTACTTGTATTCTTTTGTTTTCAGTTTTCTTTATTTAATAAATTAGGAGATAGGGGACCGTGGGTTTTTTTTTTTGTTGGGGGGGGGGGTTCTTTCTATCAAGGACTGGCCATTTCTAATTTCTCTGAGCGGAAAAGAAGTAGCCTACTTGTAATTGATGGCTAATCCTAGGGTCTTGGTTATTTCTTCCCACATTGTGCGTGTTTAAGTGTTCATCCAAGCATTCAACAAGTTTCTTACAATTTATTAAAAAATAAAATGCAAAATAAAAGTTATCTATTTTTTGTCTAAGTAAAAGTTGCGACCTAAGTGGGTCTAAATGGTCTAGGCGGGGCGCCTAGGTAGGGTCTAAGCCCTTCCTTAATTTTCAAACACTTAGAGATTTATCGGGGTTTTGGCCAGCCACTCAACACCTAAGCAGGGCCTAGTTGGCGCTAGACGAGAATTTTTAGAATAATGGGATACATTTTTATGATATCAAAAGCAAAATAATTTATAAGAAGCTAGTCCCCTCAATTTCTTCATAATAATTTATAAGAAGCTAGTCCCCTCAATTTCTTCATACTTTCCATATGTAGTTTGTATAGATGTCTCTAACATCATTCATCTATATATCGGTCTATCCAAAAATATTCTCATGGTCATCAGGTTGAAGTGAAGTCCATCATGTTTTTCATTTGTGGATAAGATCCAACTTTATCGTTGACGATGAGCTTGGAGATATTCGCCATTGAATAATGTTTTGTAATTAAGTTCTGCAGACTGATGATGATAGACAATTTGCCGTAAGGTGTTGGTACATCCGCGCGCATGCATGGTTTTTTTCTTTAGTTCGTGACTTTGTTTATAAGTTTTTTTTTTTTTTTTTTTTTGAATGCCAGCGGAACCAAATATATAGAAGCCTACAGAGAGGCAAACACCAATACAAACCAAGTAGTGACAAGGGATAGATCACAAAGACCCCTCCACCAAGTAGAGGCGTCACCCCCATCACCACCACAGCCATACTTAATGAGGACAAGGTAGCCCATCATTATTCAAAACAAAGACCAACGAAGATGGGGGCCTATCGACCCAAACAACATCACACATCTCCGGAAAACCAACCGACGCAATCTCATG